GTTCCCCCCCCCCCCCATGGGTCTCCAATGCTTCCTTCTTTGGAGTTCTTCAGAAGTGATGCTGTGGTTGGGGATAATTTCATTATTTTTCTAGCTGCTTTTTCCACTGGAGTGAGAGTGGTAGGAAGAGAAATTTCTATGGTTTTAGTAAAACTACAAGCACCTTAGAGGCAGATATAAACATATGAAGAAAAACAGAACAAGCTAGGCCCCCTAGGTCTTGTGCTAATCTCTGGTCTGCACAGAGATCTGGGGACTCACAATATAGAAGACATTGCAGGGGCCGGATGAAGAGATTTAGTTTGGAATAAAGAAGATTAAAGCAAGCAGGGCTGCCCTTCTTCTGCTGGCTTCCCCATGCTCAGGAAAGGGTCTAAGCAAGCTCTGCATGGCAAGACCATATCCACACCGTGTCACCAGGACCTGCACCCACAGGTGGAATTTCTTTCTAGGTCCCCATGGACATTCTGTGGGTGTCTGTTGATTTAGATGAAGAAGTATTAGTCACACTTGCTTGCTTTATTCCCTAACTCCAAAGAAGTACTCAGAATTTGTTGCAGAACTAGTTCAATACCAGGTAAACGGCTGGATCTTATCTATTTTTATCCGAGTCATTTCAGAATTGAAACAGTGTTTGAAAGGCAGGATTTAAGTCCAATGGCTATCCTGGTGCACAGGCCCTGTCCTCTGTATTCGTAGCTGTTGCTATCGACCACAGTTGGCAGGGGACTCACCAGAAGGATGAATCCTGTGGTCATTGGGGCACTGTGTTTTTGTTTTGTTTTTACCCAGGTCTGTGTGAGGCTGATTACTTCATTGCCCACAACGGTGTGTATGAAGCTGCGGTGAATGCTGTTTGCTTCTCTGAGCTCCATTTCGGCATCCCTAATCGCGTCTGGTTTTCTGCAGTTAACCTCAGAGCCAGAACAAGGGAGATAATTGCTCAGCAGTTTGCAGGAATCCATCAACTCAAGAAGAAAAACAACTGAGAAACACTGGCCTCTTGGGTATGAAGCATAACACGAATGGCAGTTCTGTGACTAGGAAGAGTCTAGAATGATTGGCAATGGTATGGAAAATCCCTGGCCTGTCGAATAGGAACACATGCTGTGTGCCTTCAGACAAATCACTTCCTCTCTCTGTCCCAGTTTCCCTGTCAACAAAAGTTACGTGTTGACTTCTAAAAGGTCAGCCAAGTATAAAGCTTTATGCTTCTAAATAATAATAGCTGACACTTACTGGTAATGTATTCTCCGAGCCTTGAACTCAGGATATTGTATGCTATCTCTATGTGGAGGTGACAGGGACAGAGAGGTCAAGTCCTTGCCCAGGGTCACATTTGGTAAATGTACTGGTTAAATTTCAAACCTCGCAGGTTACCTGGAGCTCACATTTTTAACCACTATCCCACAATATTTGTCAGTGTGAGCCAAGTCAGTTTGGACAGGCTTAGACATCCTTAGCATGCACTTCTAGCTCTGGGCCATGGTGACATGTTCCACTCTGTGGCTGTTCTTCCTCCATCTCTGTTGCAGCCCACTGAAGTTCTACACCTTGGGGATCTGAAATCGGCGTGTGCTGAGTGTTGCCGCAAACCACTCACTAGTGTACTCCGGGTGCATATGTGACTGAAGCCTCGGGTAAACCATGACCCTGAAAACCAGTAATAAATAGAAAAGATACACAAAGAGGTGAAGTAATGGGCAGACCAGGGGAATCAGAAAAGAGTGTAGACAAAGTAACGTGTTCCTAAGAGGCAGCGGGGCAGACTCTCAGCAATGGTTAGTGATGAGCCTAAGAAAGCTGATGGGATGTAAAAACTTCACTTCGTGATAATGTATCTTACAGTTGACTTTTCAGGGGTTTGCTAGTGGTCAAAGACAAGTGGATAAATACATTCCTCAATAAGTAGTCTGCTGTGTAATTGCTTAGGGCTTGAGAAAGAGGTCAGAGTACAAATGCAGTGAAAAGTTAACACAGACTTTAGTATTAGAACACGCGGGTTACTACTACGCCCGGTGCGTGCTCTGCATCACTTTTTTTTAAAGCAACCCTTTGAAATGCTTGGGGGTTCTTGAGGGGGTAGCGAGGGCTAGTGGTTAACAGCACAAATGTTTCAAATTCTAGTTCTGCTACTTACTGTTCCAGTTAGTAAAGTTAAACATTTTGTACAACATCCTTGGGCTTTTGATGCTTTTCCTCTTTCAGATGAGTCGAACCCTAGTGTTCTTGTGAGCATTAAACAAGCTAATACATGTCGTTTCTTAAGAGAGTTGTCGTCTAGCAAGCACACGTAAAAGAACAGTTATTATTTCAAACAGATCATATACATTTAGCTTTCTTTTTTTTTTTAAAGAGAGATTTTCCCTATAGGGCACATGCTCTCACCAGAGAGATAGAGAGACGGAAAGTGAGAAATGATCCCCCAGAAGGGATGGCCACACCACAATTCTTTCTCCTCCATTCTTCTCTCGGGATTTTGGGCACACATGCACATGCACCCAGCATGAATTTTAAACCACTGGGTCTGGGATTCGGACTGTGGTCGACTCTGTGGGACTCCAGTGACATAAGCATTATGCCGTCTGCTCGTCTCTACATTTAGTTGTCTACCTTGCCACCTGTAAGTCATCCTCATATTTGTTCAGAAGGATTCTTTCCTTGGTTATATTATAGTCTCATTGAACAATAGAACTAAATCATGGGGACAGGATATGCAACCTCTTTGGTAGGAAGAGGCAAGTTTGTATCCAGAACTAAGACAAGGGAAGAATGGGAGGAATGTGGGCTTCGAGGAGCTTTCCAGCACCTTCTCCAGGCCCTGCATGGGTTTTCCCTTTGCGTCCTAAACAGCTTACACAGCTAAGACTAAAGACCAAGTGGCTCTCTCTGAAAAGGGGCTGGCCAAGACCAGTGGGAGAATTGAAGACGTGGTGTTAAGTGACGCTTTTCCTCAGACTGGGAATCTCAGTCAGGGTTGTATGATGTGGACATAAACATTGCTCTTACTCTTCTCTCAACTCCCTGCCTAGCAGATCTATCTCTTTAGGGGGAAAAAATGGTGGAAATGGGCAGAAATTCAGCCATAAAATAAAATCGATTATTTCAATTATAGAAGTCTACTTTCAAGCAAGGTAGTTAAGGGCTGTTTTCTCTTCATCCCTTTACATGTGTTGTTTAAAGAAAAGTTTCTTTCGGATTATTATACATGCTAGAAATATCCAACTAATAGATCATCAAGAGTTAAAGTCAAATTGGTAAAGATTTTTTCTTTTTGAGACCAGCAGTTAGCGTAATGGCTATGTCGCTGGATTTCCATGTAGTCGACCATGGTTCACGTCCCGGATCCAGTGGCTTAAAACTCACGCTGGTAGTGTGTGTGTGCTTGGCCAAGATCCTGAGAGAAGAACAGAGGAGAAGGGATTGCAACATGGCTATCCACCCTGGGGGGTGATTTCTCGCTTTCTGTCTCTCTGTCTGTCTGGCGAGTGCACGCTCCCTATAGCAAAAACCTC